CGTATTCCTCCGAAAATAAGCACCCCTTTTTTGCACTTAATGTTGGCCAAGATAGTTATAATTCAGGCCAAATTTTTATAATGCAGGCCAGGGTGCTTATTTTCGGGGTGCCTATTTTCGGAGGAATACGGTATTATAAAATTTCTAATTCTTGATTTTCGTGATATAGAAACAACACGTTTTGTAAAGTAGGTTAGTCATGTCACAAAAAATCGGCAGTCCCGTGAAAATGACCTAACTAAATCAGTTCCTCATCATTAATATATGGTGCATAATAAAATAGTCGATATATAATATATATTTGAAATTAATCGATATTTATATTTATATAAAGATAAATACGTTTTATATATTTTCGAAATTAAAAAAAAAAGTAATTCTCATGAAATTAATGTAAGTTTGAAATTAAAAGATGCAATTAATTAAACATTGTTAAATTAAATAAGCAAGTAGTTTACGCGAAATTAATTGTAATTGATTTATAACTTGTAGTTTACGCGAAATTAATTGTAATTGATTTATAACTTGTAGCTTATGCGAAATTAATTAATTATAATATGAATTAATTGTATAATAACATACAGTTTGCGCAAATTTAATTGATATTTTATTTAAAATTAATCATATTATTAAAGCAAAATTATTTTTTCAAACCGACCATAATTACTATATAAATTTTTGTAATTAATCATTTGCGGTAAATGCAAAATTATATATATTAAAGTTATAACCAAATTCTAGCGTTTATTTTTCGACACATCAGGAACTTAACTACACAGCATACTTGTTATAAAATTGTAATTAATTCGCCATCTAAATTATATACATAAATTTACTATCTAAATATATTTATTTCACCATCCTGCTTATATGTATTTTGCTATCCTGCTCATATTAATTTTGCGATTCTGATTCTATTTATTTCAATATCCTGATTCTATTTATTTCACCTTCCTAATTGCTATCCTTACTATATTCATTTTGCCTGATTCTATTTATTTCTCCATCCTAATTATATTCGCTTTGCCATTCTAATTCTACTAACTTTTTATCCTAATTATATTCATTTTGCCCATTCTGATTCTTTCACTATCCTGGTTATATTTATTTTGCCATCCCGATTATATTTATTTCACCATCCTGATTCTATTTATTTATTTATTTCGCCATCCTGATTCTATATATTTCACTATCCTACAGTAATTATATCATTTTTGCTATCCTGATTATATTCATTTCGCTATTTATTCGCCATCCAGATTTATTTCAATTTATTTCACCGTACTTATACATATCTAGCTCTAGTAAAGAATGGCTTCTTCTAGTAAAAGTGCAGAAAATCTGAACAAACATGAAAAAAGATGCACCCGTTGTGGAAAACTCAGAGTCATTGAAGACTTTATTCGGCAGGTCGGAGATCGTTTAAATGAAAATGCCACATGTAATGCTTGTGCAGATCAAAAAAAGGAAAATCGGTAAATGTTGAAAGTGAAGAAACTACATATTCAGAAATTTTAAACCTAGCTGATGTTGATGATAATATTTCAGAAGAAAGAATTCCCGGTGATAATAGAACATTATATGATTTATCACAGCTAGAAGATATAATTGCAAATAATTTTATGGATATTGATGAAGTATATTTTTCCAGAATTTTTAGATTAGAGAGCGAATTAGTTAGTAATATATTAAGTAATAATCAAGAAGAAAGTAGATATCTCGATATAGCCTCACCTTTTCTTTTACCTATTGAAGTTGGATCTCGTTATTATTGGGAAATACAAAATATTTACCCTCACAAAAGGAATAACCAATTTACTGGAGATGTAACAGTATATCTTGGTTGTGCACAAAGGGATGATCAGAAATATGCAAGCTCTGATAATTAACCAGTAAAAAGAATAAGTGAAACAAGGCAAACAATTGATCAATATCCTTGTAATGGAAAAATTAAAATTATTGTTAATACAAATAAGTGTATAGCAAATATAGAAGTTCAACATTTAATATCTCATGACTATCCCACATATCAGGAAAATAATTTACCACAAAATGCCATTGCTTGGATATTTAGAAATACAAACAGAAGTCTCCAAAAAATTGAACTTTATAGAAAGCTCTCTCAAGAAAGACTTATAAATCTTAAAATTCATACTTATCATCAAATATACTACTGGATCTCTAAAATTTTCTCTCAACAATATATTACAGATACATCTAATCAACTTCTTTCAGCTTGCTATTTCTTAGAAAAAAGTGAACTAATTAATCAAGGCTATAAAGTTATTTTCTAGCTTTAAAATGACTTTATTTAATCATTAGGCTTTACTATACCTTTTCTACAAATGCAAAATCATATTACTAAAATAATTATTGATTCAACTTTTAAAACCAATCAAGAAAAGTTTGAACTTTTTACCATAATAAATAATCATGGTGGGCATGGAGTTCTATTAGCATATTTATATCTTTATACTTCTATGGCACTAAAAAATCTTTTACAAAATCTAAACAATTATATTAATATATGAACAAAGGTTTTAAAAAAATTATTTTCTGCATTAAGAAGTAATGAAGTTTTACTTAGCTTTGTTCTTTTAGATAAAAATGCTAGCAAAATAGCAGCTATAAAAGAAGCTTGGACAAAAATAACAAATATTCAAATTTGTTTATAGCATATAAAACATACCATCAAATAAAAGTTAAAAGAAAAAAAAAATCAAAACTAGTCAATATACTTCATGAGTTGCTACTAATGCCAAAAGTATATTTGAATTTATTAATGAATCTTGGATACCTGATGAACAAGAAAGTATTTTTTGCCCTGAAGAAAATATAAAAGAGGTTTTAAAAATAGTTAAAAACATGCTCTATTGCTCCCTCTTATTCCTATTAAAAAAAATATATTTCTTACTTCCAATAAAATTTATCAACAAAGCATTCAAGAAATATATAACTACTATAAAACAAAAAATCTTGTTCAATTATGGGATATTTATAGATTAATTAGTGCAAAAAAAGCTATTGGGATCTTTTTGCTCATGTATCCTAGTTATTATCAAAAACTACTATGTTAGTTGAGTCTCATTGGCATGTTTTAAAGCATAATTATAAAAATAATTATAACTGACCTCGTTTGGACCATTTAACATATATATTAACAAAAAAGCTAGTTTTAGACCAAATAAATAAACAAGACAGAATTTATAATAATTAAACTTTTCCATTATGGTGGGATGCTTTTAAAAGAGATTAGAAGAATAGTTTAGAAAAAGAAATAAGTATAGAAAGTGGATATCATATGGATATAAACTTGTGAATTTGTTCTTGCCCTACCTTTGTTGAAAATTCTTATATACTATATAAGCATCTCGTCAAACATGCAAGTAAACAACACCAAAATTTCTTTTCTTTATTTAAAAGTACAACATGAAGACATGATTATCCATTTATATATTTTGGTAAAGAAGATATTCCAACTATTCATTTGCTAAATAGCCCTTGGAATGAAGCCAATCAAAGTCTTTTAATTGAATCTAAAAATATAATAGATGAGGATATTAGTATTGAATTTGAATTTCATGACTGAAATGAATTAATTGAATCTAGAAAAGCAGAGATTAATCAGGATAAAAAAATATTTAAATCTTTATTAATGATCATTTTAGATAATATTGAAAATGATTTTTTTTATACTACTTACCAAAAATTAAAATGGCCTTTAATAACTAAAACAATGGCTTGTCTAAAAGCTTTGCAGGCTTGATATCAACAAAAAACTTGGAACCCTCCTCATAAATCAAAGCTTGCTTTTTGGTTACAATAAATTGCTTTATATTCTAATTATTATTAGCTAGAAAATAAATATAAAGTTACTGTATTTTGTTAATATATGTTTATTAAATATAAAAATTTGTACTTCATAACAATTAATAACTTTTCTACTTAACATTGAGTATAAAGATCTCTAAAGATCAAGATTAAAAAAAAAGTTTTCTTGTACGTATATATGTACAAAACATTTGTAGTCCGAATAGTCTGTGTGGCTTGGAGATCATGAGACTGCCAATTTTTTGTGATATGACTAACCTACTTATCATCTGCAGTTGTACTAAATCTATTGAATCTAGGGAAATGCATGGCAGATCCTTGATTTTGATTGGCTAAAAAAAATTAAACTGGAATTATTCATAATTTTACTAATAAAATCGCAGCCGCCTATTAAGTAAAAATTGTTCCTGGATCAATTTTACTATAATGCATACTTATTTTTTAAAAATTTCTATTTTTGTAATGAAAAAATTAAAAAGTTAACTCTAGCCAGAATTTAATAAACAATTTTGTAATGTGGACCAAAATTTCAAAGATCTTTGGCCGTTAGCCAATCAAAATCAAGGATCTGCTGCACATTTTTTGTGCAGCATCTAGAATAAAATAGCTGCTCGATATGTAAATATTGAGGCAGCTTTTGTTTTGAATCATCGTTTATCTAATCGAACATGTGATAGCTCAGTTATGATTACATGTTCGATTGATTAATCAAACGTACTGTATATACAGTAGCTAACAAAAGTAATGCCCGATTTTTGCTCAAAAAGTAATTTTTTTATTAATAAAATTTTGACTACATATATATCAAAAAAAATTTTTTAACTAGCTAATATATTGCTAAATACACATGTGCATTTAATATTATGTGATTTTTTGTGATATTAGGCCCAAAACCACCCAAATAATAAATGTATTATGGCTTATTTTTCCTTTTTTTAAAATAATTTTAAGATTATTTACACTTTTTAAAAGACTTTTAAACTTTTAGATATTGTTCTTTAATGCCTTCTAAATATTTTTGATAAGTTTGGGTTAGGGGTGTCTTATTATTTATGTTATAATTTTATTTTTTTTATTTTGATTGATTTTATAGCCTTTCTTATAATACGAACACGATAATTATTACATCAAAACTTTAAATTTACTTTGACTAACAAACAAATATAAACACAAATCCGAATAAGATAGTCTTTAAGAACTTAAAAAATAAAAAACTTTATTATTTTTTTTGATTTAATTCTTAGTAATTATTAACAAACTTTTAATTATACCCACGAAACACCCTTACACTATAACCAAACCTTACCTATTCTAAAACTCAATATCAACCACTTATTTTTATATTTTTTTCATTATGTAATATTATTTTAGGCTTGTTTGTGTGCTTCTCTTTTTGTTTTGTCAAAAAATGACACACTTTTACTCGTATATAGTTCTATCTTTTTTTTTTTAATATTAAATTTAATGGTTAGTTATATTATAATATATAAAATATGAGCTTTTTATTATCATGTAAAACTTAATTATGATGCAATACGGGACCTTAGCTATAAAAAACAAACTATACAAGCCCCAACTTGTGGGTAGAGTTATGCAATGGCTTGCATCATTACTCTAATGCTTTTTTTTAATAGTTTGTTTTTTTTTGCTTCTTGAGGACCAAGAAACGCCTAAACCATGATAAAAAATATTTTTTTTTAGTTCTTATATATTGTTTAAAATGCTATTAACATATTGTGTAGACATGTTCCATTGCTTATATAGTTTAACTAAATAGTTATGTTTTAGTATAAAACAAGGTAATTTCTTACCTTTTATTAGGTGTGCAACACCTTGAGGTAGATTTACGGGTCTTTTTTCTATCCTGGTACTTATTCAGAAGTTGAAAAAGAAGGTAAAAAAAAAAAATTTCTTTGAGAACCATTAAAAGGGGGTAATCACGGCTACTTTGTTGGCTCACGTGAATGATCTGCAAATTGGGCATTACTTTTGTTGGCTACTGTACATACGTACATAAGTATGAAGTATGAGCTTTGCAGTAAGTATTGTTATTATGGGCAATTGATTAGTGTGTGGTAATTGATCAGTTTTGTAGGGTCTGGTCGGTCAAAGTTGAGTTTTTTGGAAGTTTTTAGTTCCCAATATTGAAATTGTGACTTGTTGAGACAATAGTTACAATTTAGTTTTGCCTGTCGAGATGGCAGCCAATATGTTATAACTCTATGTTTGAATAAGCAATGTAATTGTAACCTGTTGGGATGATAGTCACACATGTTTTGGCCTGTCAGATGACAGCCAATGGCTTAAAATCATATGATTAATTGTAAATGTTTTTTAAAGAGAAAGAGAAAAAGAGTCAATATGATACTCGCGTAGTTACTCGATAGTTAAAAGGAAAATACCCATTTATGTTCTTATCCCATAAATGAGAGACAAAACAAATACTAAATCTAACAGTCACACAATTTGTTACGCAGATCATGAGGGTAAATTTTTTACTATGAAATTTGAGTGATCGATATCTATATGATCGTATCAATTTTCATAGTAAATTGCAACGGTAGACCTTCTTCAAACAGCATTTTTAGAGGTTTCCTAAAAGGAAACAGCATTCACGAGACAAGGTATGACAGTTTATCTACACACATATTTTCTTGATTTTAAACTTAAAACGAAGTAAGTAACAAACCTAAAAAGAATCACACCTTTAAAAATAGCGTATTGTTATAATTTTATATATGTAGTATTTGCTTTCTTTTTCATTTTAAAAGCTTTCCTTTGGTGCATAAACTTACCAAACCTTTATTAAAATTGTCTAAAAACATTACAGGTTAGAAATTCTATACTATAAAAAATTTAAAGCAGGTGGGTTAAATATTACTTTGATGAAGATTGCTAAGAATTCAAGTTAACAATAGCTATAATAGTTATTTAGAATATGAATAAGTTGACCTAAAATTATTATCAACTAAGTTAATTTTTAGTGTTTTTAGTTTATCTCTCGTGGGCTGGGTGTTATACAAGTTAGAATCAGAGCTACTATTACTAATAGAAATAATTTTTACTTCAATTATTACTATAAACCAGTAGATGTAATTTTTCGAATTAAAAATATATTTATTTATTTAAAATAAAAATTTTGATTCGAATAACTTAAATACATTGACTATTGCAGTATCGTGCATTCCCTTAATTAACTTATGTGAACAAAAACACAATTGCAAAAACCATCAATAAGTTATCTCAATTAATTGTAACGATTCTGATTACCCAATGATTCATATTATAAACTACACAAAATCATTCTAAATAAAAATATTGTATAATGATACATAGGCATCTACAAATTTAGTTTAAATATATCGATTAATAAATAATTTTTATATGCCAACTAAATTAAACCAAGTACCGATAAAATAAATTAAAATAACTTCTGAACTTATCTTAATAAATTAATACAAATAGATGAATCTAAATAAAAAGTAGCACGATAGTAAGTATCAACAAACTTGATTGCTCAAATATAGTATTACTATTAAATATCAAAACTTTTTAAAGAAAATTTTGCAGTGAAATAAAGTAAAAGCGTTGAATTAATAAGTGATCTACTTACCACAAAACAGTTTTCGTAATTTCTTCGTTACATTTATAATGTACCAGCCCTTCACAGATGCATTTTGGAGAAAGCTCTCACTTTTGTTGCACCTAGTGAATCACTTTTTACGTTGAGAGTTTGTGAGCTTGAAAAGAATCATGCAAAGGTAAGTAAAAAAATTACCTGTCTTCAAAAGCACATATTGTCGTAACGAGAAGTTTGTTTTTTATATTCTTTATACCGTTGGATTCGTACAAACTTCAGCAACAATATTGTTTTAAGCAAAACTGTGTTTCGATAAAGGTTTTAGTGGGGAAATCTAAAAAATGTAAATTCGTCGATTTGTGTAATTTGTGAAACTCATATGATAAAATTTTAGATGTGTGACTGCTAAATATGATTATAAAATCCTAAAATTAGAAATGTTTTTAAACCAGGTAGGAAAAGATCTTCATGGCGTACTAAATCTAAATACAGATGCTAATAACAAAAAAAGAATTTGACAAAAAGTATCACAGACACTAAACCTGTGAAAAAATTATTGTTGATCGATTAACCTTAAAGATATAAATTTCTGATTGATTCTTTTGTTTTAGTAAAAAGTTCGCGACTTTTTACTGCTTTTTTTTAAAAAGAAAATATTTTCACCCAAGAATACATTAGTCTAAAAGATTTTTAATATCTTTCTTTTCCTTGCCTATTCTTTCCTTGTTTATTACTTTTTCATTCCTCGAATGCTAATTATCATATGTCAATGAAAAACTTTTAAAAATTTCCTTTATATAATAAAAAAAAGACAATAAAAATAAAATTACAATGACAAAAACTTTATTTCTTGAATCTTATAACTCAAATATAATAAAAAGGACAAAAGAAGAGGAAGAAGAGGAAGAGGAGGAAGAGAAAGAGAAAGTACCCAAGCGAAATTTGAAATCTACTAAAGGTAACAATTCTAATGAACAAGATAACCTTGGATCCAACTACCGAAAAGAAAGGCGTTCAAACAATATTTGAAATCAAACGAAGATGGCAATTTTAACAAACGAGATGGCCCTCAAGCTCAACTTACCAAATGTCATAGGCATTATAAAAAATAAATATTAATATGTTTTCTATCAAAAATTTTTATTAATACTGTACTTGTAAAGTATAACCTCGTTATAGATCTGAAGGTTTTTGGCTTCGTTCTATTAGCTTTGCTAGCAGTTTCGTTATATCGGGGCTAATTTAAATATAAAAATTAGAAATGAGCTTCGTTATACAATTAGTGTTCGCTATATCGAGGGTATACTGTATTATAATAATTAAAACTATTAATTTTTAAATTTGATTAGTCTTTGCTCAAAAATAGCATTTTAGTTTTCTACTGTATTATTTTAATTTATTTTTTTTACAATACCTTATATTTTTCAAATATATAGATATATATTGTTCCTTATCAATTATTTCATTATACTAAGAGCTAGGCAAAGGAATAAGAATAAAAGGTTGTGAGTTCAATAGTGCAAACAATACATCCTTTTGGCATTTCTTTATTATGTGAATTATTGTTCGAAATTTGTGTATTGGAGTGCCTACTATCAAATGATTTATTACCTTGTCTGTCGATGAAATAAATTTATCGGTGAAATGAGCATCACCGGTGCGGTTCATATGGTTAAAGGTAAAAACATACTGAACTATAGTTGTTAGATGAAACGAAACTCTTTACACAAAGTGACGAAAGATGAAACCACGAGCCCTAAAATCTAAATGACGAAACCCTAGTACTCTCATTTAGGGATGGAGAAAAACGATTTAAACAGTTTTAGGTTTTTTAAAAACTTTTAAAAATATTGACGCTGAGACTAGAATTCGGTTGAAGCTAGAACTGCCGCTTCTTATTGTTAATTTAGCGTCAACCAGGTTCTATAGCATTCCTGGAAGTTACTTTAAAAAAAATTTTTTCTCATTTTTTTTATAAATTTTATTGTAAATATTTATAATGTCAGTGTCTGCAACGTTCGTAGATTTTTTTTCAGTGAAGGCTTTTCACGAAACATAATTATACATTGGGGTTTCAGAATTAACTTTTTTTCGAAATAACTGGGAGTTTAAAGGTCCTATTTTCTTTTTTAGAATTCCGAATCAGAAAATTAAATAGGCATAGCCGGTGATAAAATTAGCTTTTTTTTTGATAAATATTCATCGATAAACAATTATGTAAATAAGTACATACTAGAATTTGTACATCGCTTCTTTTGAAAAAATACGTCACTTATTTTATCTGAAATCGGACGCCGAATCACTAATTCTGAAACCCCATTTTATGATTTTTAAGATCGCATTTTAAATCATTTTCCATCTCTACTCTTATTTAAAAAAAAAAAAAAAAATTATTATTGTCGTGGTTTAATTTGATACCCCGGGATTTCGTGGTGCTGGGTTCGATCAGGATCGGTGCATAAAATGGCGTGATCGGAATATGCATAATGCATTATTTAATTAAAAGTCTAATTGTAGATAGCTTAATGCGTGTAACCGGATGAATTAATACCCGGTTTAATCTTGTAATATTTAAAGCGAACATTGAATAATAAATAAAGAGAGAGGAGTTGAATACTTGCTTAGTGAATAAACCGTACCTGTGTGCACATATCGAGGGTGGAAGGACCTGTACAATACACGGTCTTCAAATAGAATAGCCAAGCGACTAAAGACTGTTACTAAAATCAAAGAAGTACACGGTAGTGTTAAGAATCGCCGTGACACTACATACGATGTTTTGCAAGAAACATATAATATAAACAAAGTTAAACGATTGATAAGAATAAAACTACTGTACTTTTAGCGTAATAATGCTCATGAGTATTATGAACCATGGCATAATTCGGGGCAAAGTTTGAAATTACACCTGCGCGTTATTTTGCGATAATACAGTACAAACTTATACATTTTGTATTTAAAAAAAGTATTATTTTAATATTTGAGGCTTTTTATATAATGCTGTTGGCCCAGCTTGTATATTCAGTATTTAAAAAGTCAATTACAAGGATTATAAATAGTCAAATAAGCATTTACATCTCAAATATTTAAATAAAAAATAAATAATTGTAAAGATGTATTATGATAAATTTATCAGATTCAAAGTTTTTCACTATAAAATTTTTAAGATATGGCATTAAAGTTTTCTGGTCAGCAATAATTGTAAGAATTTACTTTAAATTTACTTTATTATCATTAGCGAGTTTAGCTCTCTGAAAATTTTCATTAAGCATTAATAATAGTAACATCATCAATATTAATCAGTAAATTATATTATTTATAATTTGAGAATAGCTAGTAGCTAAATTTTTTTCAATAAATTTTTCTAAACGAATGATACAATTCATTTCTGATTTCACAGAAATAATGTGATATCTCGGGAACAGATGTATGATTTTGGATTTAGATTAATATTTCGAATCTTAGCATTCATTTTAAGCCAACCGCATTATTCTGATTAATTTATCTAAATCTTTCAGTGATTCATCATATTCACTTAGTATTTGATAAGTAAATCCTCGATTACACAATGCCTCCGGATCGTTCGGATTAATTTCTAATCATCATGATGATGATTGATCATTTTCTTTTTGTAATATTTGATTTTGGAACTTGTGATCCGTTTCTTCACCTTTTATTAGTTTCGGCACCCTTTACAGTTTCTTCACTTTTCGTCAGTTTCGCCACCTTTCATCAGTTTCATCACCTTTCGTCAGTTTCGTCGTTTCGTCATTTAAGATTCGAAACTAGGTTTCGCGTTTCGTAAATTACATTTATGAACTGTTTTCATAGATACTTATCGCTACAAATACCTTTTAATTTATGCCACGTTTCTATATGGCCACATGACGTGGTTGTTCGAATTATAATCGCTGCTTTAATCAGTAAAAAAAAAAAAAACTAATTTTGCAGTAATGCTGTTATACTTTAAATTTTTATACAAGATTTGAAAATAATGCAAGATAGTTTATTTTTAGGTGAATACCTTTAAAATCACTTAGTTGTTTTTAAATTCTATGATAGAAGATATTTAGAATATTTATAGCGAAGGTTTTTTTAATCTCTTAGTCGGCATGGTAATATTATATTATTAAGGTAAAGTTTTGATTGCATTATTAAAATCGAAGGTTTGTTTTAAATTCTTTTTCGGTACGATAAGTTGCAAAAGAAGTCGAAAATCCATCATAATGTCACATTAAACGAATAATGACGTCCTTATTTTCTACACGAGGAATAACCCTGTAAGTTTCAATCATCTGGGGGCCCGAAGAGCCCCCTAGATGATTGGGATTTACTTACTCTCGCCTACGCGAGAAATAAATAGCATCTTTAATTGAAATGTATGTTGTAAGTGGATACTGAAAATCTATGGATTTAGAATTTATTTAAGTTGAATTCGGATCTTAAAACATTCAGTTGTTATAGAACTTAATGCGATCATACGGTTATATTAGTAATTAAGAAAAATATACTTAAAGTGATCTTATTTTTATGCATTATATTTCGAAAACTTCTTAAAATGTCAAACTAAGAACATCATTTTATTTCGAGACAAGTTTTTAATAAAAATTTTGAAGAAAAATTTTAAAATAACCTTTATTTCGCAAAATTATTATGGCATTATTATCGAAGTACTTCATTAAACTCAGTAATAAAAGCTTAGAAACTTGCCATCAAATTATTGAAAACTAAAATCAATCAAATACTTTAATAATTGCAGTTTCAAAATGAGAATGAATTGGTCACTTATCGAATACCAAACTGAATAAAAAACCAAATAACCAATATCTTCGATATTCCCTAATGCGAATGAACTTATCCATTTGAACTAATCGCATGTGATGGTCGCGAAATCGCATCTTTAAGGTGCAATATAATATGTAAACAAATCTATGTGGTCATATAAAAATATTTACTGTAAACTTTTATTATGTAATTTGAAAGATTAATCCATATATTAATATTGTGCTTGTTCGCTTTTAAGCATTTAATTCTTATTATAAGTTGTCTTAAAATCTAAATCCACTTAAGTAGATTCCGAATCTATAAATATTTCATATCCACCTACGACATATATATAACCAAATTATTCAAAGCTCATTATCCAAATTAAAGGTTTGATTTCAATAGAATTTTGCTACTATTCAACGAAGCGAAGAAGCATAACTCATTTTGAACATAGGACTTGTTTGGAGAAAATTACTGGCTCAGCATATTGATTTTTTTTTTTTTAGGAATGGAGTCAGGTAAATTATAATTTGGAAGCCCAAAGCGCGGTTTTCCCTGGCGACATCCATATTTATATCGTTAAGCATGTGACTACGGTAGTACGATCAAAAATTACATCTATCTTCATGATATCACGATCAATTTCAAATTAACATCAGTATAGATGAATTGTTCTCAACGGACTATCTTTATTTCAAACTTTTTTAATAAAAAATATATCTTTTCATATACTTTAACAAATCCGAGATGTAAATTATCATTTCTATCTGTAACAAAGGTTAATATCAAAAAGTTTTAATTCCATAATTTTTGTTCTAATAACGTATCGAATAAAAATTTGAATAACATCAAATGTATAGGCTCAAGATCTTTTACAGCAAAAGAAAGTGACATCAGTAACTTTAGTCAGAGATTGTTTTTCCCAAATATCGAAACATAATGCTCGTTTAAATGCATTCATCAAAGTGCAAAATGAAAATGTGGCATTAGAAAAGGCTAGAGAAGCTGATGAAAGGGTTAATAAAGGTTATTAATTTAGTGTGAATGTATTTCTTTTGGTTATTATAGTATGAATAAATTTACGATTACATCTGCAATCTATCAATATCAGGAGTTATTAAAGGAGCTTTAGATGGAATACCTATTACATATAAAGATAATTTTTGTACTAAAGAATTATCAACTACATGCGGTTCTAATATGTTAAAAAGTTGAGTAGCTCTGATGAAATTTCAAATAGCCTTAACCACAAAATTAAAATATTTAAAATTTCACTTTAAAAAGATTTTATGTCGCCTTTTAATGCGACTGTTGTAGATTTGCTTCAGGATGCTGGTGCAATAATGATTGGTAAAACGAATATGGATGAGTTTGGAATGGGGTAATATTTAAGTATCGATCATTATCGATCATTATCAATCTTTATAATATTCTTTTAAAAGTATAAGTTTTTTATTTATCTCTTTAATATTAAATCGATAATGATAAGTTCAGCAAACATGTACAGTGCATTTGGGCCGGCTTATAATCCTCATACAATTATTTCAGACCAAAAAGAACCTATTGATCAAGAACCACGAGTTGCTGGTGGAAGTTCTGGTGGTAGTGCTGCCTCTGTTGCATCTGGAATGTGTTTCGCGTAGGTCAACAATGCAATTTTGTCGCAATAATTATTCACCTACTTTATAAAATATATACATTATTGTGAAATAAAAAAGTTCACTTGGATCTGACACAGGTGGTTCTGTACGCCTGCCTGCTTCATATTGTGGCGTTATCGGTTTTAAACCTTCATATGGTCAGTGCTCACGATGGGGACTAACTGCATATGCTAGCTCACTTGATACTGTCGGTATAATAACGCGAAATGTCCTTGATGCACAACTGATATATGGTTCGTTAAATTTATAAAATTAAGAATATTAACGATAATATTTTAGAGATGCAAATACTTTTAATCTCTTCGTTTTCAGATATAATATCAAAATATGATGAGAAAGATTCATCATCACTTTCACCAAAACTGCGCTCAATAAACGCCTCCCTGGCTTCTTTTGACAAAACTAACACCAACGTTACTGATTTGAGTAAATTACGCGTTGGCATACCACAAGTAAATATTTAATTTATTTATTCTTAATTATAAGTAATAACTTATCCCTTCTATTTATCTTTTATAGGAATATTATGTGTTTGAGCTAAGTGATCCAATAAAAAATTTATGGAAACGAGGAATCTCTCTTCTTCGTTCTTATGGAGCAACAATTGTGTCAGTATCATGTCCTAGTACAAGATATGCATTACCTGCTTATTACATTTTAGCTCCAGCAGAGGCTTCATCCAATTTAGCACGATATGATGGAGTTCGATACGGTATTGTCAAGAGTTTTACAGTAAATATCTTTCCTTTATCACATGCTTATGTTGATCGTTTAATCTAAGGTCATCGAAGTGATATGGATTCTAATCAAGAAGAGGAATTGCTTTACGTGCATACACGAAGCGAGGGGTTTGGTGAAGAAGTCAAACGTCGTATTTTGTTAGGGACTTATACATTAACTGCAGGGTAACAAAATGATACAAAAATATGGTTTATTTTTTATAATGTTTAATTTAAATTTTCATTTAATAATATACATAGATCTTATAATGATTATTTCATTTACGCTCAAAGAATTCGGAAAATGGTTCAATCGGATTTTGATTCTGTTTTTCGAAGACCAAATCCTCTTCATCTCGTAAAAGATGAGACCTCGCCTTTTTATAATCGCAATAATGATGAAATTTTCGAAATATCAAATCAATTGAGAAAAGAAAATAATGGTGTGGATGTGATAATGACACCGGTTGCAATTTCAACATCTCCAAAAGCTAAAGATTCACTTTCATCATCTTTCTTATCGAATTCGTCATCGTGCTTTAGTACTGATAATACAAGTATAGATGATAATAGGTTTGTGAATGCTTATGTAAATGATGTTTTTACTATACCTGCAAATTTAGCTGGTAAGTTTTAACACATAAATGGCTTATTATAATTTGTCTCGTTTTGAAAAGAAAAGTCTTACGCAATGAATTATATTAATCCACATTTATAGGAATTCCAGCGATAAGTGTACCTTTTGGCATTTCACCAATAGACGGATTTCCTATTGGGTTGCAGTTGATGACACAATACGGAGATGAACACACACTGTTCTATATTTCAAAAGTTTTGGAAAATAATTTCTTTAAGCAATAAGATTATCATTAGTTGAATGAGTTTTCTTTATATTGTCTGTGTTTAAGAAACTCTAATAAATATTGGTAATTTACCTTTCAATCTTTTTTTAAATATATAGAGGTATAAATCATTATTTTAATGGCTATGTAAAATAACTAGTAGCGTAATGTTATGAAAATTTTATAGCAATTATTAGTTTCTTTTTAAACTATTTTACTGGAAATGAGAAATTATATAACCCTACTCATTTATCCATGAGAATTGATATTCAAACTAATCATTATAAAAAATTTATCTTGAATAAAATATTAAAATTGATAATTTCGTTATTGCATAGTACATCTAGTTGAAGATCTTTTAACGGTGAATGATTATTTTGCCTGCACCACAAGCCTGGCACGGAATTTTTATGTATTTGTCCTTCAAATACGTATCCCCTAAATTTTTTCTTAATAATGATGTAATGCAAATCTTTTTTTATGTCCCGTGAATCCCTTGAATGAATACAATGTGCATTATTAATAAAAAAACACGAGAAAATTCGCAAAACCGCTATTCGAAAAGTCAAGAATTTATCCGATGAGAAATTTGCATCCAAAATTCGTGAATTTATAGAATATCCGCATATTAATATCAATAAGGTGAATGAACAAAATAATTGCGCTGTAAAATTATTCGTTTTCGTTAAGGCTAACAGGTACTAAAAAAATTTAGTCTAGCAGTAGCTTTTCATGGTTAAGTTTTGTTTATTTTTTTGTTTACCAAATAGAAACATCGTTTAACACCTAAAAACTCGTGATCATGACCATTGTAAAAAGACCTGTTGCAAACTAAATCGTGCTCATTTGGAGGAAACAGTTCGTTATTTTCAAGGCGATGCGGACAAATGACTATTTTTTTAAAAAATTAAAACAAAATGCCGCATTCCGTTTTTTTCAGCTTAATTTGTATTCACAACCGTTCGGGGTTTTTAACTCTAATTAAAATTATTAGTTCTTATTTATACATTATATAAAATTTTGTCAGACGTCAAATTAATAAATTAGCGAGATATTTTAATTTGTCAAATCAATTCCTGAATTCCTGAAGATATAATGCTTTAAATAGAATAACTACCATCAGAAATCGTCAATTTAACTTAACGAATTGATTAAACATTGACCTTGTTAATTATAATTAAAAACAGTTTGCAAAATAAATAAATAAATAAATATAAATCGCATAGAATATTTGATTTATTTAGCGTTAGCATTTATTTTGTTTAGCATTTTAGATAATTTATATCAATTGAAATGCAACTCGGAATACAAATATAAAGTTAATTACGCTCATTTAACAACAGACGAATGATCGGCCGTTAAACCCATATACGACTATATTTTCGATACGGCAAGAATGTTTTTTTTTAGATTAAATATATAAAATTTCTATTTTTGTGATATTATTAAATTAAAAAAAAATTAATCATACTACAAAACGTAATAAATCTATGATATTGTTTTAAAATAAATATTAGTGAAAAAAAAATGCTAATTATTTTTTTTAAGCAATGTGTAAATCAGAACGTTTATGATTTTTTTTATATTCAAAAAATTTTGTTTTGGTAATGTAATTTGTAAAATTCATAATTGGCCTTTCAATAGCCTTATTAAAGCACCATGATATGGCAATCGTCACCACAACTGACAACATTACCGCATCTAAAATATCATTAACTTTTTCATCATCTTCCGTTTCCCTCGCCGCCCCTTGTACTCCTATAGTTGTCGCATAATTATTTACAATTGTAAGTCCAATTGGATGAAGCAAGTATATGCTAAATGAAATTTTCCCTGAAAAACAAAGTAAATTCCACGAACATGCATTAACGAAAGAGCTAGTGCGGGACAAAAGTCCTGCAAGAATTAGAAAGGCATACAAAAAACCTCCAGTATAAATTTCTATTAATAAATTTTTAGGCATGCCAAAAACTTTTGAGGCTAAGTGAGGCATTGTGCAAATAATTATGAAAAAAATGAAGTAGCATGTCCAATCAAAAAAGCGTCTGATAATCCAATGATAACTCGGTAAATTATTAATAATATAATTACTACAAACACGTTTTCTCTTCTTTTCTAGAGCTTTTTCTTCTTCTAAACTCAACGGTAATAAACCAAGTCTAATAATTTCCCTATACCA